AGGCTAGACAAAAAGTAAAAACTTTTCTCCTTATCAATATGTCCATTCCATTGGAAAGTAACACCTCTCTTAAAGTTGCTGAAAAACTAGCCAGATATAAAGACCTGGATATAGAAATTGTGTGTATTTGGGAGCTAAAAACAAAAACTGTTCTAGCAATAATCAGAGGTGTGGGGACTTGTCAAAAAGGGATGGACAAGGTCATTGATCAAATCCCAGGCAACAACAAAGGGACAGAAGTACCAAAAAAAACAAAAACAAACACACACTCTTGTGGAAAGCACATATTTTAGGAAAGACACTTTCCATCAAATTAGCCTTATCTCCATCCATGCCTCATTATGACCATAGGCTTGTAGTTTGAGTCAGGTTGTACTTGTAATGGTGTAAAAATGCAAATTCTGAATAAATACTGTAAATAAATACTACTAATAATGTATTGTAATAATGTTTTTGTAATACTTTATTGAAATATTTATCTTCTCCCTTCACTTTGCAATTTTCACATTGTTTAGCTCATAGAAATGTTATTTATATTTCTCATTTTACATTTGTACATTCATTTGTATATTGTATATTAACCTTTTTTATTTCTATATCTAAAGTACCTGATAATTACTGTATTTGAATGATATTCAGCTTCTGCTTCTCCATAACACCATATAATTCATAGGACCCCTAAATACTTCATTGAGCAAGGAATGGGCTGTATTGTTTTGTATAATTTTCTGCTGCTCCATGCTATCATAAGAACTCATAAGTTATAACTCATAAGCCATCGTAAGTTCTAGAATTGTGCCGCTCAAGGTGGCTGCATGTTAGAGCAGCTCTGTTACTTTCATTCTGAGATTTTGCTTTTGGAAACTTTAATTCCTCTTTTTCTGGATGTAAATCACATTTTTTGGATGATTGTTTCCTCTGGTATCGGATGCTGTGCAGCTGGAAGGATTTTTACTGAAACTTTTTTAGTTTAAGACGTTTGTTATGATGCTTAACCATGACAACAAGGCAGTTTTCTACAACCAGCAGCAGCTGATTAACTTCTCAAAAGCTCAAATAATATCTCAACTACAGCCCCAAATCTCAAATGAGTTGAAAAGGATGTTCTGTGGATGTATTCTCATCTACCTGCCAGCTGTGCTCGAGTGCCTGACCACTGAGATCCTGGAACTAGCAGGAAACACGGCTCATGACAGCGGAAGGACAGGATCGTCCCTCAGCACCTACAGTTGGCTGTCTGCAGCGACGAGGAGCTCGGCAGACTGCTGGGAGGAGTGGCCATCGCTCTGGGAGGAGTTCTGCCCAGCATTCGGGCGGTCCTACAGCCCGGGGGAACCGAGAGGCCATTCGAGTCTGGGTGGACGGATCGGATGACATCTGCAGCCAGTTTCTTAGGATCCACTGTGGGATGGACCTTTACAAGAGATCCTTCCTGTCTACTGCCATCAGTATCTATAACATCTCTTAATGAAATGAAGATAACGAGTTACAACAACAAATAATTTCCCTTTGGGATTAATAAAGTATTTTTTAATTGAATTTTTTAATTGAACTACTGAGTGTTTACCTTTGGCTCTATCAGACTTGAAGCATTCCTTGTGCATAATACAGTTGATGGGAAAATATTGATGTGGTGGAAGTGTTTTTCATGTTGCCCAACTTTCACATCTGTTTATGTGAATATACTAGGTGGGTATCTTTAAAATACCTGTGACATGCATATTGTACAAATACAAAAAGTAGAAGAAAACATCTTAATGTTTAAGAAATTTGGTATAGTACACAATTTTACCCATTTTATCACAAAATTGTCAACTTTTTTTTTTAACGTTTGCACAGCCAAATTGAAACAGGAAGTGGCATTAAAGGGGAATACTTAATTAAAAAGGATCTCCCTGGTCTTTGTTTATTGATACAATATTTGTTTTAACTTTGCTCTTCTTTGTCTCTCGCTGATAAATAATCCAGAGGAACATCAAAATCTTTGTTTCTGTCTGTGTTTTTAGTCATTGTAGCAATGCTCTGTTCACGTTCAAGCATTCCCCTTTGTCATCACTTCCTGTTGCCACATATACCACATAATATCTCAAGAATTGTTCATCTCAATGACGTGAAATGTTTTTGCATTACTTTGTAAATGTTATTTTTCTGAAAATACGTTCTGATTTATTACTAAAATTTGATGTCACAAGCACTTTAAGGGGTATGCGAAAGTGTTGTTTAAGAATTTCACAACTGTATCCTGTACAGGCTACAATGTGGTTTTAGCTAAGCCAGATACTTTTAGTGCACTCGTTGACTCATTTTTTTTCTCTCCTTTGAGGAAGGTTAGTCATTTAGGTTTTTTTTGTTTTTTTTGTTAAACTATAAAGCAGAAATTGTAGCTTAATGTCTGACATAATACAAGTTTTACAGTTTCTTCTTTTCTACTGCATGCATGCACAAATCATACAACTTAGGTAGTAATTGTCACATAAAGGCAAAGCAGGTGTTTAATGGGAAAATCTGAAATGATCAATTGGCCACCTCCTACATTTCTAATGTAAAAGTAAATTTCAATTGCTGTCATAGGAAACATGTAGAGCACTAGGAGAAAGCAGGTTTTTAGTGGGAGCAAACGGGTTTTTAGTGGGAGCAGCTGAGTATTTCCAGTAAAAGTATATCAATAAACTCAAACTGAATAGTGCCAATACACACAATGGACTCCTGTCTGTTTATGTGTGTGTCTGTTTATGTGTGTATACTCCTTGTGCTGGATGACCTTTGGTATAAATAGTCTGCCTTTGCTGGTTGTGATGACATGGAATGCAACGTTGTATGAATTTGTTTTCTGCATTGCGTTTTTATTGGTTATCCCTCTTGAAACTATGCCTATTAAACCACCCGTTACCCAGCAACACTATAGGGCCTCAACTTTTTCAAAACAGGACTCAAGCTTAAACTTAGAACAGATTCATGCACATATTTATGGTATGATTTTTGGAAAACAAAATATAAATGTTTAGCTCAAATTGTAGTGTTTTCTGAAGGCATGACTGTGGTAAGCTTAAAGTACAGTACTCCCTTGTTTATCACAGGGGATCGGTACCCTGAATCTTTTCCATAAGTGAAAAACTGCGAAGTAGGAATAGTAGTATAAGTAGTAAGTAGTAGTTATTATAGTATATATTGTATATATATTATTATAGTAGTAGTATATATTAGTGCTGTCAATCGATTAAAAAAATTAATCACGATTAATCACTATGCTTACCGTTGTAATGTAAATATGCAGGTTTTCATAAAATGTTGAAGAAAATGTTTTATTGTCTCAAACCAAACAGTTTTCCAGGTTTTCACACTCGGCAAGGTTTACAGAAGTCATTTTGTTTCAAACATCCATCCTTCCATCCACTTCTTCCTTTTTGGGTCGCGGGGCTCGCCGGTGACCATGTCCAGCAGTCACTGTGCGAGAGGAGGGGTACACTCTGGACAGGTCTCCAGTCCATTACAGGGCCACACAGACCAACGAGACAAACATCCATTCACTCTCTCACTCACACCTAGGGACAATTTAGAGTTACCAATTAGCCTAACATGCATGTTTTGGGTCTGGGAGGAAACTGGAGTAATTTATAAATGTTAACTCGGATGTCTCATTAAGTGTCATTTATGTGATCAAACCATGTAACCCTTCTTCTTTTTTTGATTTTATTGGTGGTTGGCAAACTAATTTAAGTGCACTACAACCCCCACTAGACTGGAAGGTGGAGCTGGAGAATAACCAGGTAACCCTCCGCAGGATAGAGGCCTTTATAGGTCAAAATAGGTAATGTGATTAATCTGCATTATGTAATATTAACACATTAATCGTTTTAGATTAATCACATGCGTTAACACGGTAATGTTGACAGCCCTAATTTATATATATATATATATATATATATATTAAGGCATTTTAAACCCTTCCCACACACTTTCAATATTCTAAACAATGTTTCAAAACTCGAAATGCTCTAAAAGAGCACATAATGTCATGATTTCAGGTCTCTGCCATGGTTGCTCTCTGTCAGCACTCTCAGGCACGCCCACTTCTCCACTGCAGAGCAGAGATCAGCTACAGGAGGAAGTGTCACATAGGTGCAGCTGGTGCTAAATTCCATGCCGATCGTGTGGCTCATCCATCAATCAGTCAATTGTGTGTCATGTCCAATCTTACTTTGTAAAACCTCGATAGAGCGAGTCCGTGACAAACGAACTGCAAAGTGGCGAGGGACTACTGTATTCCATAAAGTTTATCAGAATGTGAACCAATTATATATTCATGCATAATTGTTATTACTTTGAAGTATGAATAAGTGTAGGCCAATAAATTGAGGGCAAACCCTTGGACTAAAACAACCACCCATCCATCCATTCTCTTTACCCACTTCTTCCTTTTTTGTGTCGCGGGGGGTTGCCGGTGCCCATGTCCAGCAATCACTGTGCGAGAGGCGGGGGACACCCTGGACAGATCGAAAGTCCATCACAGAGCCACATAGACACACACAAGACAAACAACAATTCTTACTCACACCTAGGGATAATTTAAAGTTACCAATAGCCTAACGTGCATGATTTTGGTCTGTGGGAGGAAACCGGAATACCTGGAGAAAACCCACGCATGCAGGGAGAGAACATGCAAACTCCACCCAGAAAGGCACCTGGATTGGGATTTGAACCAGGGTAATCTGTTGTCTGAGAGGCAGCAGCTCTACCAACTGTGCCACTGTGCTGCCCCCAAAAACAAACAAACAAAAACATTCAACATGTATTAAAACTTTAATATTTTAGTGTATTTTTCACGGCACAGAAAATGAGATTGCAATTCAATTATCCTTGTTCATTATAATTTGTTGTAACTATTGTTATGTTATTGTAAAGGTAATTGTAATTGTTATGTAGTTATTGGCAGTGATGTTAATGATGCAATACTTGGTAATGTCTGTATAGTGATAATATTTTTCCTATATCCATCCTAGATCTGGAGCCTGATGACAACACATCGTTCTATATCCTAAATGTGGGCCAGCCTCAGTCTATGATCACCAACCACCAGTCTATTGGTCTGTCTCGTCATGGCATGCACTCCCAATCCCAGGTCATCAACACCTCATCACGCCTTCCATCACACAAACCAGGATCTGAGTCATTAAGTTATGATGCACAATACTACACAGTGCTACCCACTGCTCCTGTGGAGGCACCAAAGGCTTTTGAATGCCCCAGTATCCAAATCACCTCCATTTCCCCTAGTTGCCAACAGGAGATGGATGGCAATGAAGGGGAGCTGAGGCCCAATGGTTCTGATGGGGATTACCACAGGGACAGGACCTTGTCTAGAGGGCACCTGTTTTTGCCACTAGACCACTCATATCGAGACTCTTCACTCAGCCCTAGTCCAGGCAGCAGCCTGTCATCTCGAAGCTGGTTTTCAGATGCCTCCTCTTGTGAATCATTTTCACATGTCTATGATGATGTTGACTCGGAGCTGAATGAAGCAGCTGCCAGGGTTTCTTTGGGGTCGCCTCTGACCTCTCCAGGCTGTGCCTCCCCTCAAACTGGTGGTGGAGTTCTGGAGGAGCAGTCCTTCTGGCATCAACATCACCCTCCTTTTGTGCACCACTCTCACTCTACCCTTTCTCCCCGACAGTCACCCTGCCATTCGCCACGCAACAGTGTCACTGATGAAAATTGGCTCAGCCCACGGCCATCTTCTAGGCCTTCTTCACGTCCCACCTCACCTTGTGGGAAAAGGCGCCACTCTAGTGCTGACATTTGCTATCCAAATTCATTGTCTCCTCATCATTCACCCACACCCACGCCAGGACCGTCCCCCAGGGGTAGTGTGACAGAGGACACTTGGGCTGGGAGTCCCTCTGTAGGCATGTCACCCTTTCAATGCTGCCCATCTGAGACAGACATCCCACTAAAGACAAGGAAGACCTCACAGGACAGAACAGCTATGCAGACTGGGAAAGGAGAGCTGGTGCTAGATGACCAAGATAATATATCATCTAATCTGGACTCTCCCTCAGATGAGAACTTGCACAGTTTGAAGAAAGATGGGCCTGCAGAACAGTTTCTCTCGGTGCCCTCCCACTTCTCATGGAATAAACCCAAGCCTGGTCATACACCTATATTCAGGTAAACATTTTATTTTCTTTTTTTTAAAGCTGAAATAAAAACGGGAACAATTATGTTTGGTGTTGTACATTTACAGGGGAGTGGTGGCAAAGAGGTTAGAGAAGGAGAGCTTGTGATTGGAAAGTTGCTGGTTCCTATCCCCAGGCTGACATCAAATGTGGGTGGAAAAGGTGAAACACCCACACCTGCCTCCACCCTCATTTGTCCCACTCTGGGTCTTAACCCTCCATCTACTCCCCCAAGTGCCCTATGGCATCTCTTCTGCTCCACACAAAGGATTGTGGTAGCTTGGGGATTTGTGGTTGCATCGGGAAGGGTATACGGCATAATAACAATTACCAAGTCTTCCTGCCAAGTTAGTTTGCTGTGATGATCCCTGACAAAAGGAGCAGCCGAAAGAGGGTGGGAAAAAAAGTTTAGTATTTTGCATTTGAGTTACCACAACAGCTAGGAATCTTGGTAAAGTGGGAATGGAAAAAAGTAACAATTTACAAAAAATTAGTCTACATTTTCATTGAACATGGATAACATACATCAATTCTGGCTTTTGGAAAAATTTGCTCATTTTGAACCCAACCCATGCAATACATTGTCAAAAGGTTAAATTATATGAAATGCCCTATACAGTAGTCCCTCGGTACTTCACGGTTCGACTTTCACGGACTCACTCTTTCGCTGGTTTTCAATGTAAGATTGTACACGACGCATATTGTGGGGCAGCTGTGGCTGAGTGGTTAGAGCAGTTGTTCTCTAATGTGAGAGTTGGGGGTTCGATTCCACCAGCAGCCACATGCAGTAGTGTCCCTGGGCAAGACACTTGATCCCTCATTGCCTCCGATGTGTGTCTCATCAATCTATGAAACTTAAAAGCACTGATTAGTCTTTGTACAGATATAGTAGAGTGCTGTATGAATGGGTAAATGGGGACATGGATTGTAGTGTAAAGTGTTTTTTGAGTATCTTGATAAACTAGAAAGGCACTATATAAGTACAGTCCATTTTACGATTGGCTGATTGATGGAAGGCGACCAACCAGAGCATTGTGCTGAGGGGTGGACATCAGGAGCACTGGGACATTTCCTGGTGGTCTGGCCCGTTCATTGATTGCCAAGGGGCCTCCTCCTTTCTTTTTCTGAGGCTGTCTGTTACAGCTGAGCAGAGACAAACAACAGGCGGGCATGCAACTTGTGTGTCTCTGCTCTATGACAGACAGCCTCAGAAAGAGAAAGGAGGAGCATCTCCCCCCGCTCTAAACTGCTGGTGCAAACACGCACAACTCAACTGTCTCTTGAGTTCCACAGTCGGTCCATCCATGGACCAAGAAAAGAGGCAGTTGAGCAAAGAGAGCATCAGAAATGGAATCATTCCTGTGAGGAAGCTGAAACGCCAACAAGCATCAGGGTCGGCTGATCACCTTGTCAAGTTTTGGAAGTTATAGCTCATTTAAAGGCAACATATTTTGTTGTAGGTTACATTTATGCTCAAGCAGATCTTAAGCCTAATTTTTCTTAGTTATTTTGGGAAATTTCACCTGCATTTTAGTTTTTGTGGTAGATTTTGTTGATCTATATTTTATGCAGACTTTTTCAATCTAAATAACAGAAGGATCATTAAAAAAATATACTTGGGGACTGAATACTTTACTAAATAAAATTTCAGTAAAATTAACCCTTGTTGTTTTTTAAATTTTTATATAATGCTGCAAACAATGTATTAAGTTAATTTTGTCAAATGAATAACTATGATTTCTGTGGGTTTTTTTTTGTGTGATTATATCTCAAAATTTATTGTTATTGTCAGAATGCACTGAAATATCACAATATAATATTTGAGCCATATCACCCACACCTACTTTGTGATTTATAAGTGTGTTCTGTCAAAGGAAAATGTTATTCAGTGGCAAGAAGCTGTCGAGGGATGGTAGAAAGTCTGTCAAATTGAAATATAAATATATAAATTAAAATTATTTAAAAATACATAAATTATCTACTCTACTGTGTAATCCTTGTAGTTAATTTACAGTAGTCAGACCGACTAACAATAAAGTTAATCGGTGGAGTCAATGAGTCATTGACTCTTCAAAGGAAATTTTAATAAAATAACGAGGACAGCTTGGCGGGCCAACTTCAGCCCGTGGGCCCCACTTTGGGCACCTCTCTCTCTCTCTCTCTATCTCTATCTCTATCTCTATCTCTCTCTC